GATCAGAAGGTTGCGTGTTCAAATCACGTCGGAGTCAGTGGTGATTCTCCCTTCCCCTTTGCTCACCTACTTCTATCCCCAAATCCCTACTGCCCTCTACTTATTGACTGCCTACAACGAACCTCACACTTGCCATTCAACTGCTTTTATGGCCCTCCTTTTCTCCACCTTCTACTATACTACACTACTCCACACTGAACTACATGATTTTGCACGACACCACTACTTTAATTTGCCCACTTTGATTACAGAGGCGAATGTGGAGGTGTGCTGGCATATAGAGAAGAGAGTATAGCTGATGACGGGAAACGGGCGAGTAGGAGGTGAGATGAAACAACGTGGCATACGAAGGCAATTGCGCGCCAGAGAATTTGATCCTAGTAGGTTGTTGCATAATTTATCTTCTGAATTATCTTGCGATGCGCCTCCTCTGTATAGGTGCCTTAAACAATTAAGGATTCGAAGCACAGCATAGAATGCACCTAAGTGATAATAGTCAATAAACGACATAAATGAACGCGCACAAAGCGCAAATGTGTCGCCGACTCCCACGCACCGCTAATCCTAAATTAGGAAAGTAGACAGACTCCAGGTATGAGGGCATTGGCTCCACCGATTCGCGTGGATGAGAATTACAGCATGAAATTGCAACCTAATCGGCGACTCAACGCAAACTTCTTCATCACCTTGGACTACTCCGACGAGCGAAACTGCAGACAAGTCATCCTGGATGATAGGCAGAATCACCATCCCTGGCTGCCTAAATCGTATCCTTGTGCATCAATCTGCTATTACGCTTGTACGTACAAGCACCGACAGCATAAGAGGATTCAAATCCACAAGTAATAATGAGGACAAGAGGAGTGATTTCTCTCTCCATCGAGCATTACAGCATTGTGGTGCTTATGGTCGGTCACCTCAGCATCACCACATGGAGCGCAGCATCCATCCATCCAATGGAAGGTCTGATATGCCTTTACCTGCTTGCACAAGAATCTTCTGCTTCTGTCATTAGTCGCATCTGAAGAAGTAGACCATTTGCCGCCTAGTGTGTTTGCATTGTCCCAACCTTGTTGGCACTTTAGCCCTTTTGGTCACATCGCCGTTGCTTATTCTGCGGGTAACTGGCTCGTGTTGGGTGAAATTATCCATCTTCTTTCTCCATTTGCTGTAGCTGTCTTTCAGCTCATCACTATCCTCCGCCTTAACACCGGTTGGTCCCGATTCTCGAGTGGTCTGCGCCCAGCTCGTCCGTGTGATCCCTACCACTACGATCATCTTACGGAAGGGATACTCCCACTCAACTCATCCATCAACGCATTACAGATAAACCACATTCCACAGTTTGACAATAATATGGGCCTTAACATTCTGCTTCTCCCGATTTCAGTCTCTTTACCCCGAATATGGAAGCGTAGCATCTCGAAATTAAAAATAAACAGTTTCAGAATGGCAATGTTCCCGCCCTTAGGAACCAAATTTTCGCAGGAGTGAGGAGCAAGTAATCACAAGATGTCGTTCTTCATACTGCATGACTTATAATAAGATTTGCTTAGTAAGAGGGAAGAAGGAGGTTCCACTTGACCAAATCAACGCTTCCCCTCTCCTCCTCATAATTCTTTAAGTGAGTTAGACCTCTTCTGGCACTGAAAATCACGCACAGATTAGGGCTTTGAAGCTAAAACCTGCAACCACCAGAACAAAGGAATGTGTAGAAGTGGAATTCACTGGAAGTGTTAGTCTACCTGGCAGAAAATATGCAACGGTTATAACAATCCTTTGCCCACTAGCTTGCAACCACTTTATTTTTCATTGTTATTTTCAGTTAAAAGTGATTAAAAAAGCAAAAGTAATTATAACCAGTTGTCTTTTTAAAATAGGGTCTTTTGCAATATGCATGCTCACACTCTGGAGAGGGAACATTGGAGCAACCCTAGCAACCACATGGAGCACTTGCGCACTTACAGGAACATACTCCAAGTGTTTGTTGAAGTTACAACCTTCTGGATAGCAATTACATGCAGTCTCCGTTGCGGCACTGGGGCAACACCACATCTCCTCTCTCCCTTGCACTCCACTGCGCTATGTAGCACTGGCTCAAATCAAATCGGCTTAGAAGGGCTAGGCTCATCACGTTTACCATAATTTTTGGGTTTGTGCTTCTATGCGCCCAATGATTCTCTACAGTTGATGCTGTGTGGCGCTACAACATGCGAAGCCACGGCTAGATTGTGATGCGATGCAGTGCATCATGCCTGACATGGTTTTGCGTGATAGCATTCGCATCAGCGACTTTCCTTGTCACCGAATGCAAATAGATGGAAGTGAGGTAGTGATGGCCCGTTCTTCTTACAATGCGTAGGTAAAGGTTTCGAACCCTTCCATCCCAGGCTTTTAGGCTTGCAGGCTAGGACTATTGGTGTGAGGGCGTGGTGTGTCGAATAGCAACATCATCATCCATGTGCGTCCCCATGTCATTGCTTTCTCTAAAGTTGCTACTGCTGCGTCTGAAGCTACTTGTATTACAGGGAGGAGCAGTTCTCCATATGGTGATGGCCACAAACACTGCAATGCTGCACTGAGGGGGGAAAAGCTGGCGCAGTTAACGAGGTTAATGGTTGTAATCGGAGGTGTGGCTCCGTAGTGCAACGGTGGCGCGTCTGACTCCAGATCAGAAAATTGCGTGTTCAAATCACGTCGGGGTCAGTGCTTATTCTCCCTTTCCATGACCTCACCCCCATCCTGCCCTCTTGACAGTGCCTGCCTGCAACACACCTCACACTCCTAGTCCATCTCCTCTCATCTCCAGCCCTCTTCCTTCAATTCGTCTGTCGTTACTGTTGCTGTCACTGTGCTGCTCGCAATGCCTTCGTCACAGCCGATATCCTCCACTCCTGCTTCCTCCAATCCTCCTCCTCATTCACCTCCCTCTCCTACTTACCAAACTTGTTTGCAAAAGCAGTGGTCGTGGAGCTCCATTCCATAGAGAATAGAGCACAGCTGAGCAGAGGTGGGGAGAGTTGAGGTGAGGTGATGGGTTGGGTGGATTGAGGTAGGACATGTTCGCATTTGAGTAAATGGGAGTATTTTGGCCAAGTGTGAGATAGAAGTTGGGCTGAGGTGCTTGAGAAGTGCCGAGTGATTTGCTGTTAGGCGGAATCGACTAGTTGGAGGTGAGAAGAGGACGAAACGCACATATGCCAAGCATACGAAATGTCATACTACTAGCGAGGGGAGTGCTCGTCCATTCCTCAACCTACATCCTTCTAGGTCGAATGCAGACGGGTTACCTACTGCCAAATTGTGACAGCATCTTCTCGTGCTTCTCCATGCTCCTTAGACTTCCAGTTACTTCAATGTTGCTACAAACCTCTTGGTTATATGATACTCGTTATCGGCACCAATGGGTTCTAAAACACAACCTGTTGGAGGGGATTGCGCACTACAGATTTCGATCCTGGTTGATTGTTGCATCATTTCTAACTTGCATCAGCTTGTGAGGCGCAGCCGCACAGTAGCTGCGTGAAACGGAAAAGGAGTCAAAGCACTGTATAAAATAAGTCTAAGTGCTTATAGTCGCAAACGATCCAAGTCATGGCGAATGAGGACGTGCGACCGATTATGCAAAACTAAGATTTACTTGCGCAGTCTGTGTACTACCCATGGCCGGCAAGTAGATTGTGGAGCAGTCTGCAGGCCGTCTATCAAAGGACGCCGAGTACGCGCACTAAATAATATGTCATGACGAATAGAGCGGGCCTCTATTCGTACAATATGATCACGGTACAACCAAAATAAATGAAAGGCATTCGTGCCTCTAACAGCGGTAATTATGGTTGTAACGGTCCCATTCTTAGGTCGCTGAAGTCAATTCACTCGAGCAATGCCTGGTCAAAGCACATTACTTCTTGAAATTACACAAGTTATTACCAATCCAACATTACCAGCAAACGATGCCATCAAGGGACCTATTTTATTTCACAAAGTCACTTTCAAAACGGATAGCCTCTCCCAAAATGATTCATTCCTAAGTAGGCATCTTCGACACAAAACTCAATTTGTTATATTCTCTATAATCCTGGTTCTACGTAAACAATCATTTTTGTCAAACATATTACTGATTTTGAGGGAGAGACAAAAGCAAATGAAACAGTAAAATTTGAAGGGAATGCTTGGCTGCTCCAACACCTCTCCACCCGCTCACCCTGCTCATCCCTATTTCACGTGGGCCTATTAGCCCTCCTTCTATCCCCTGCACCTCAATTGTTCTTCTTTACTACCATGCTACCTCATCCCGCCTCATTCCCTCCTCCTCCTCCTCCTCATCCTCCTCCCCCCTCCTCCTCCTCCACACTCCTTACCTCTGGTCTATTCTCTATGGATCAACAAGCGTGTGGTTTAATCAGGCACTTTCCTGGAGATGTATTTTGGTGGAGTGAGATTTCCTGACGTCTCTTCTGTTATTTACACTGCCCACAT